CAATCAGAAAGACTCATAGAAGGAAACGAAACACAAGTGATTAACAAGCCTAACATGACAAAGAAGTCCACCCTAACTAATGGCACTCTGCAGATTTCCCCCCACCCCCGGCCTCACCTTTCCTTCCAGCAACAGTTTCACACACCTCCATGTGATCATATATAACCGAAACAGCAAAACACAAACAATGGTTAGTTTAGCCTTGTCGATCAAGAAAAAGCAACAACAACAACAACTCCAATCAAAAGAGACAGAGTCACAACAGCTAAACTACCAAAGCACGCTACAACCCAGGAACACTCAACTTCTCCAAAACACAAAGGGAAGACAGCCGTTCGTTGGGCTCGGCGCACAGACACGCCTCCAGCACACCCCGCATAGCACTGTCCACGTCCGGGGGTGGCGGTATTGGCTCCAACAGTCCCCCCCGCAGCGCCTCGCGGAATGCCACACTGTCAGCAAGCAGCGAGTCGAGCTCCTTCTGCGAGCGCTCCACCGCCACACGCGGAGCCCACTGCCACGGGTGGGAGTTCGTCAGCATCGCCAGCAGCAGAAGCCCCAGCGCGTACATGTCGCTGGCCGCCGTCTTGGCGCCGCCGACAGACACCTCAGGACTCACATAGTACGAGCTGTGATGAGCGAACAGCGACTCAGCGGTCAGCAGCATGCCCTTGAGTCGGCATCGCCCCTCCACACCAACCATCACGTTCTCAGGGCACACATGCCCATGCACCAGGCCACGCCCGTGGAGGTACGCCAGGCCGCGCAGCAGCGACGCAACATTCCGCTTCACAGCCATCAGCGGCAGCTTCCGGCCGTAACGGTCCTTCATGTCACGCAGCGTGCCGCCAGGGACATACTCCGTCACAAGCACAACGCCGTGCGGTGGGGCGTGGCAGTACGAGAGGTACTGCACAAGGCTGTCATGCTCTCCAAGGCTCAGCAGCTCCTGCAGCGCCGCGTCCACTTCCGCGCGCGGCAGGCGGCCACCCGTCACCGTCAGCGGGTACACCTTCAGCACTGCCAGCGTCCCAGTCGCGGAGATGGCCATGTAGACAGGGGTGACATCCGCAACTGCTTCGTCAATTGGCTCGAACGCGCGCTTCCACGTGTTCCCCATATGGTCCTTGAACACGCGCGGCAAGTCGCCCGCATATGCCGCACGGCTGGCACGCTCAATTATTGACCGTGTCCCCGTCCCTCCAGTTTGAAAAGAATCAGTATAGGGGTTTGAGTTTTGTGTGTCCTGATCCACACGGGAATCGCTTGAGGGAGCCACGCTGCCCGCCGGATCGACATCTTCACCCCCCACCGGCTGCGGGCGCCGCACGTACGGCGCTGTGTCGCCTTGCGCAACACGCGCGACGCACTCACTCCTGAGCCGTTCCTCCTGTGACGACCGCCACGCCGCCGGGTCCTCCGTCAGAGAGCTTTGCGCCACCGCCGCTGCCCTGTCCCACCACCGGAGCGCCCCGGAGTAGTCACCGCGCACCATCTCGTCGTACGCCTCGCAGTAGCAGCGCTCGTACTCCTGCCAGGCCGCCGTGCCAACATCACCACCAAGCACCTCATGCAGCTGCACCTGCGTCTCGCCGGCCTCCTCGAGGTACACGGTCTCGAACGGCAGGAGCCGGTGGCGGCCACGCACCAACAGCGCCGTTTCCTCCGTGACGGCCGCCACAACGCCAGCGTGAGGCAGGAAACCGCCAAGCAGGTGGTGCAGGTTGCGGCACAGCAGCACGAAATGGCTCCTGCCGCCCCCGCTGATGACGCCGCTCTGAAACGCGCCGGACTCCACGATCACACGGTACAGACCAGCGAGCGCCGCGCACTCCGTCAGCTCCTCACGCAGCCGCTGCGCAAACTCCACCGCCTGCGAGGCCTCCGCCGCAAATTCTTTGCCACGCGACTGCACACCAAAGCTCACCACGCAGTAATCGGGCCGCTGCAACTCGAAGCACCCACCACACGCAGTCGCAGCACCCACAACCACATGCATCATCTGCTCCACAACAGCATTGGTTGGGTTCGCGTGTTTCCGTGGGGTGTAGTACACGTAGGCAACGCTGCACATCACGCGCCGCAGGTCGCTAGCCGGCGGCCCATGAAGCGAGTCGACTTCATGCCCATGGGGGCTTAAATCGGATAGCCCAGCCGTTGCCGTAGCATTCTCGTCCACAAGGAGACGGTCCGGCATGTACGACCGGACTTTGTGGAGGCGGCGACGGAGTGTGTCACACACATCCGCCAGCTCCCGCACCTCGCGCAGCAAAACAGGGCGGTGCTGCGCCGCACCAACGGGGGCACCACTTAGCGCCATCTTCAGCTCTCTCTTTGTTGTGCGAAGCGGGCGAATCAGGCAGCACTCCACGAATGCAATGCACGCACCTGTCACCAGCACAAGAACAAGAACACCACCAGCAATACCAATGTCGCGGTACACGAAAACCGGACCAAAGTAGTAGCTGCGGGTTGTCACCACCACAAGCAGCATTGCGACCCCGCTCTCCGTGACAATATGCTCCGCGGTAATACGACCGTTGTATCCGCCATATGGGAAAACATCCTCTTCCTTCTTACCGCTAATGAGGGCACGGCGAAGATCTATATTCCGGAGCCCCTCACGCATTATGGGGTCACTAACGTCGTCTGAAGTCATATACTTTATTGGTTCCCCCTTATCCATAGCCGTCCATGGATTTGACACGTTGTGAAGGGGCTGATCCCAATTGTTAGCAAAGACAAGGAGCCGCTCAGCCGTTACATTGGGGTCCACTAGCATCACGCGAATTCCAGTTTCTGATGCGTTGTACCACTGCATATCCATTAGTCTTGTTGTAAACATCGTCGCGTGCAAATAGCCTACGCCCGTAGTCTTGTCATCGTACACCTCGAAGAACGGAAAAACAAATGCGGCGTACATCGGTGGGTAGCGTGGTGTTACCCAGTATTGTGAAAGATCCATCACCTCACCGCTCGCAAGTGATTCATTCCATCGATTCACCACTGTATCATAGTGGTTCTTGGTTGTGAAGCTTTTGACGCTCGTACGGTGCCGCAGAAAGTTCATAGGTATCAATGGTTGTTTGTATTCCAGAGTCGCGGGGTCAAGCATGTAAAAGTCCTCAATAATCCCGTCACTGCTCTGTGCACCCATAAACAGTTTGGGGCGGCTTCGTGAGGCAACACAAATAGCTGCTTGATTTCTTGTCAATGAAACAGCACCCAAAGTTGTGATTGTTTTTGCTGGATCCATATCGCGGAGAGTTGCACACAAACGGGACATCATGCCATTCTCCAGCGGCATCAGCTTGTCCGTTACGGGATTCGGGAAGGTGTTATTGGAGAAGTACATGCTCCCAGGTGCCATTGCCATGCGCACCGCTTTAGAGAATGTCTGACGACCACAGGCCACCTCCATATTGGCAACGATCAGGCCATGCAGAGTAGTTAAGGCCTCTATTGCACTTTCCAGAGATGCAGTATTTGCCACTGTCACCGTCAGTATGCTAACAGTCACGAGGATCGCCACAAGGGGACACAACACCCAGCAGCGCAGAGAGATGCTGTGCTTCTTCAGAAAGTCCGGCACAAGGCAACAGAGGCAGCCTGCGTAGTATGAATTAGACGACGGAGATTGGGATTGCCTTTCGATGGATGTGCCTGCGTTTTGTGCATTTAATGGAGTTGCAGATTTCTTTCCTGCCAGGTACTCTGCTTGCCATTTCTTCAGTCTCCGGAGTGCAGGATTGGTTGTGGATGTATTCATCGTCATCCCTTGATGAGCCTGTGTCCGTTGTGACGCGGCAAAGGCGTCTTCAGTTATGAAACTGCTGGTCGTGCTCTGATGCATTATTTCCGTGATAACATCAAGCTTTTTATACTGATTCGTCTTGTGTACATTAGGCTTCGTATTGCTAGCCTGGATGGGTAAGTGCGGAAGAGGTATGCACCCATGATTCTGTCCAGACAAACCATCCAGATTACTGTTTCGCCTTTGTTGCGGCGACGGCTGTTCGACAGGAATCATCGCATTCTCAGTGGCACCGGGGCCAGATGGCTGTGGCGAATTGAGAGGCACATTTGTGTCGTTGTCGCGATTTTGAGCGGGGATTACGGTCAGTCGGCGGTCGGCGATCGTGCTTTGTTCAACACTCGACGGGACCGTGTCTCTACTGGTGTTAGCACTGGTGATATTGGCGTCGGGGATCCCTTGTCGCATCGATGTGGCTCTTTGCTTTTAAATTGCCTCTGTGAAGGACAGAAAGGAGAGGGGCAGCGAGAGAGGACCATGCAGAAAAACACATGGAGCACACATCGGCAGGTGCGTGTATGCTCCCCGCCACTGGCGCTGGCTCACACTCGATGAAAGATGAGTCTGAGGGAGCGAGAAAAGCGGGAGGATGTGGCTGTGGCGATCCGACACGCACACAGTATTATCAGGGAGAGGGGTGTGACACCTGGACAGCGGCGCCTACGTTCCCACCGTCCTACTCCTCTTGATATGCGACCACCGCACCGATTGCAACTGCTACGCGTGGCTTTGTGGAGGACAAACGCGCTGAAGGCAGACACACAAAAACATACAGGTAAATATATAGAGACAATAAACAAAAAACAAAACAAACACAAAAAAAAGGCAACGAACAACCTAACGCTCAGAGCGGCGTCCGTAGAGGCATCCCCCGCCTGCTGAGAATCTGAGTGGCGCCACTTTCCACTACATATAATATAATCGCCTGTACAGCCGCCCCCTCTCCCCGCCCTCGCACCCCACCGTGGCGGCGCGTGCCGGGAGCAGAAGTCGGGCGTCTCCAGTTCGGGTCTCAAAAAACCACAGCACAAACCCTACTCCCACACACATATATACCACACAAACCTACACAAGGGCAAAATATGCTTTTGCATACCGCTTCTACCCTAACTCTTTAAATTTGCCGTTTTT